ACAGTGTAGTAAATGTTCCTCACAAACTAACGAAATGCAGCCTAATTCGGACAAATGAGACGTCTTACGTTAGGATTCCTTTATACATCCATTCGTTTCCTGAAAACCGATTTAATCTGTCAACCGCTTATGAATAGGGCTTGTTCCCATTACCGTTCAACACATGAATATATCAATAATGAGTTATTTTATCTTAGTCCCCCTAGTTAGATATGGATGTATTTGAGGAAAAATGCTGTCCCTTTTCATGTCTTTACTTGTCTCAATTGTTGATTCTGAAAATTTTCTCCTTCACCTTTTTTCTTTGGTCCAAGATGGTCTTTTGAAAAAGCCGCATGCAACGTTTTCCCATATCAAACTTTTAGAATCTTTCAGCCAACTTCACTTTTGCGAAGAACTATACCCAGTGACCGCTTAGATTTTGCTTGTGCTTATTTTGCAGTGCTCTTGGTATAGCTCATATGTTAGTGAATTTACTAATTGTACATTTGGCTTCTTTTCCGTCACTGCAGCCTGCCTCTGCCAGATTGCCTTCCCATGCATTGGGCATGAAGATTCGAAAACCCGATGTCTGCTCTCCCACAATGCCATTCATCTCTTCATCCGATGCCTGCATGACCATTGTCCGCAACCTCATGTGCCATCGGAAAGGTGGTGAATCAGAGGAATTCTCCAAGCTTGCCATAGAAAGCCTGATTCGAAAGCTCAAGGACAGACGTGAAGAACTTGACTCTTTAATCCTAGCCATTACATCAAATGGTTCAACTCCAACCGGCTGCGTTACTATTCAGCGGACCTTGGATGGCAGAATGCAGGTGCGAAAAATGGTGCTATTTTTTTGCAAGTGTATTTCTGATGTAAAACTATTTGCTGTTTCGTCTATCATCCGGTAAGACTCATGCATACGTTTGCAAACTCTGTCAGACGCGCGGTCATCAATCCTGACTTTTGCCTTAGCTTTTGCAAAATGTAGGCATTAAAAATTCCAGTTTCCTGCTTGGGCTGCCGCTCAAAATATCAGCCGTGCTCTGTTACAGGAACTGAAGTCCAAACTCGGGCCTTGCTAGGCAGTTGCACACCAACTAAAGGTCTACTCAAACACTAAATAACGAAACCTCGTGTTTGATGATAACGCGGTCTCAGTGTCA